ACACGTGTACTTGATTTATAAAATTTATTTGAAAATCAACAAAAAGCGAACAATGGAATCCATGTTACTTCCTAGTAATTGTCACAATTGTTCAGTGTCAAAGTGGAATAAAGACATTTTTTAAGTGGTGATGAGATGAAAACAGGGGTTCCCAATGGTTTTCTATATTTTACTAATAAAAAGTAGTAATGAAATTGATTAGTACACATTAAAATAACCATTTTAATATTTTGAAACTTATTAACAAAAAAGTATTACTGATAAGAAAAATATGATGGATTCAGTTTTCTCAATTGTCCACCAAAATTCAATCGTCAGATTGGCAAAAATTATTTTTTATCATAACCGATCAAATTCAAGAACACCAAAAACTTGCTTTCTGTACCTAATTAAATTCCTAGAGTTTGTACATAGTACTTGGAGTTTTCGAGAGAAAAGTTTTTAGTTAGATCTTTGGTCTCTACGAGTTGGTGACGACTACTGCATCCGCATGAAACACGAGCTATACGAGTTTTATTACGATATTGATTGTAATTCAGTGAATTACAATCCAGCAGCTTTGCAGGGTTGGTCATGTCATGAGGATAAATGAAGATGCTTCAGCGAAAAAGGTATTTAAAACGGTAGTTGGAGGAAGAAGATTCCTACAGATGATGATATTATTGAGCATTATAGCTCTGTATGTATCTCATAATAGTGGATCCGATTCTAAGCGCAACGGAAAGTGATGAGGGTTCGGTTGTTGAATTTGTTCATCAGCTTTTCAAGAAGGAAGTAGAAGACTTATACAAAATTCTGAATTTTTATTTGGAAACGAATGATTCTACAACTCATGATCACTATAAGAGTTTAAATAAATTGGAATCTCTTCTTGCTGAAAATAAGAAAAAAAAATTAAAATTCCATTCCCTAATTTCTGAATATTTCACTTCACTATAACTTCAGTGCTGAATTTGATTGCAAATAAATAAATATCTTAAAATGTCTCCATAAGAGTCGAACCTTTCCTGTGCAAAATGATACTTCGAGTTTTAAAAGTTTGACTGTATATATATTACTAATATGCAATTTCTAAAGAACCTGCAATCAACCTATATGCGAGTAAGTGAAAGATAATCAAAGTAATATTGTATAATATTTTCGGTAGACTCGGAGTGTTAAGTAAGTAATCAGGAACTAATTAGTATATATGTATACCTTATAATTATAATTCTATATGTAGCACCTTATTCTAAGTGTTTATCTCTAACACTTAGGGCGGTTTCGATTAGTAATTCTAGATTAAATTTAGATTTACTCTCATTCGGTCATTTTTTTTGCTCAATCGAACGTTTTTGGAGTAAACCAACATTCTTGCAGTTGTATTAGTTGAATTTTATATATTTTATAAGTACATATGTTGAATAAAATCACATTACCAATTACAATTACAAATTACAATTACAAATTCCATTACATTACAAACCACACTTTATCTGTCAAGACATATAAGAAAGCTGTTAATTTTAGCATAAGTTGCTACACTAGCAAAATATCTAGAGTGTTATAAATTAATCTCCAGTGTTACACATTTTGCTCGAGATTTACTAATTGAAAATGAAAATTGCACTTAAAGTGAATTTCGATTAAAAAAGTTACTCTAGATTCATTAATCAAAAACGGCATTAAACTAGCCTATACGAGTATTATCATTTACAATTTATTTATAAAATATGATTTGTTGTTTTATATTTTTAATTTTATTTTAATTTTTTATTAAACAAAGAACAAAAGTCAAGATAATATATTTTATTACTGTTATATATTAGTTCGTTTATTGCATATAATAAAAAAGTTTATTAGATTTTATTATTTAATAATTTTATTATCTGCGAAGAAAGCTTTAAAAATATTTTTAGTATTATAGTTTATAGTTAAATTGTAACAATGAATTCAGTGAATTAACTATTTTTTATTACAATATAACATTAATTATTAGTATGAAAAATTATATAAAATTTTCAGTATATATAAATTTTTATAGAAATAATTTGGTTTGAAGAGATTTTTCAAATACTGTTAATATACTAATATAATAATTAATTATTAATATTAATATTAT